CCCCAACCTCCACCACCTCATCTCCTCTCACCCCCTCCACTGTTTTCTCCGAACTAGATGGAGATGGACTACTCTCCGAGTCCATGCTCCTATAGTCCAAGGGTATCACCTCACTCCCTACTACACTTACTGTTCCTTCTGAAGACATTTTCTCAATCTCTGCACGAAATAGGGGGGAGGAATGAAGTCAGGACCCTTTTTAAAAAAAATAAAAATAAAAATAAAAAAGCCTCCTCTATTACACATTCAAAATCATTCTCACTTCTAACCCTAACTTCCTTCAAAGGACTCTAAATCAACCACAGAAAGGGAGAAAGGAGAGTGACACTTCGATTAAACCAAAATCAGAGGTTCGTATACATTACCTGATTTCGATTTCGAAAGCTTGATGTAGAAATCCCCAAATGATGCCGCAGTTCACACGCAGGAAACACACAGTAAAGCTTTTTGTAGAAGTTTTGCAGGAAAAGAAATGCAAGTAAACCTCTTTCTGCAAAAAAAATGCCCATTTATACTTCTTGGCAAAATTAGATCTCAACGGCTGAGATTCGTTTAATCTTACGGTTCCTATTGACACCATTTGGAATTCGACGGCCAACCCCAAACGGTACCGTTTTGAACTCGACGGTTCGTTTTTTTTAAATCTGCCCGTTTAACTGTTGCAGTTATCTTTTTACGGTCGCATTTATTGCGCACGTCATTCCAAGGACAACTGCCACACCACGTACTACCCCTTTGTCAGACTTTTCAGACGAGCCCACTTACGCCCATTTCAACACCTTCGTTTACTTTTACACATTCTCAATTTTGCAAGTGTTTCCTTCGGCTCTGGCCACAATAATCCTGCATTACATTTCACATCAGCTCCGGTCATTATATTTTATTATGGCTCCGACCATTATGACTCCCGTCTTTATACTTAAGCCTAACCCAACACTTCTGTTTACTTTTACAATTACACTTTTTAACTTGCATAGTATTTCACTTCGGCTCCGACCATTATGACTCCGGTCATCATTTCCTATCACGGCCCCGGCCTTTATGACTCCGGTCATCATTTTTTATCACGGCCTTGGTTACATTGTGACTCCGATGATCACTTTTTATTACGGCTCCGGCCACCATGACTCCGGTCATCATCTTTTACTATGGCTACAGCCACGTTACTCCGATCATTATTTTTACCACGGCCACGGCCATGATCGCTCCGGTCATATTCTATTTAAGGCACCCCCAGTATGACCCACTATTACATATTTCATTATTAGCTACGGCTATGTCTGCATGGCAATGACAATAAGCATGCTTGCACCTGATTCCTCATGGCGAGCTGCATAGCAGGTATGATGGACGTCCTTGCATCTGAATACCTCTCAAATTCCCGGTCTCGGAATAATCGTCTGGATAGACACGTCAGGCTCCGATTATCTTGCTTGGCATGCCACGTGGGTTCCTCATTGGATCCTATAAATACCCCCCCGGGCCACGTCAAAAGGTAATTGAAACCAACCCTAAGCTCTTTTTATCTTCGCTCTAAAGGTAGCCTCGATTATTGCTGACTTAAGTATCGGAGTGTCTACCCCGACTTTCACCTCGGGGCTTTGCAAGTCATCCCGGAGTGCAGACGCGGACTGAAGGACTTCTGGTTGGGTGCAATTACAGATGTACTCCTGAAGGCAAGAGGAGACGAAGGTCAAGAATTATTCAACCAGTCGACTGACATGAACAAGATTTAGAAGGTCGGCCAGGCTTCAACCATCATACCTGTTCAAACACTCTTCATGAATAGCTCAGCCTCAGATTATTTAAGGTTAGATTACTCTCACTGACATCGTTTTAGCTGAAAGTTGTATTGTTTAATGTAACATATTGTCACAGAAATTACTCACCTGTCAAAAGCAAATTGTAATAACATGAAAATTCTTCACTCTTGTAAATCTATTTCTAGTTTTTAGGAATGCTCAAATTGTTCAGGTTTTCTTACGATTGTGTAATGATAAAGTCTCTTATCATTTACTGTGTGATGTTGTAGTTGAAATATCTTGGTATGCAAGAATTGCTGAGGTGGGGGCCGACTTATGATAAGTAGAAAAATGGAAGCAGTTCCTTCTATGATTACTCTTTTGGTGGATGAGGGAACCCATAAAGCTTTATGATTAAACAACAAATACGTGTAGAGGCACAACTCCATCTCCATTAAACTTTCATATCTTAGTTTGGCTTGTTCCACAACAGGCCAAATTATAGGAAATAAAGAGAAATGGCATGTAATGGGATTCTTCATTTTTCTTCCATTATTTCTATGTTTCTTTATTGTTCATCTTATTATAAATAAGGGATAATTGGGTATAATTATCGCTATACATCATCATGTTAAGAGTATATAATTTAATTTAATTGTTAAAAATAATCAATATTTATTTTTTAATAAAATAAAATTAATTTATAAATTAATATTTTTAAATATTATAACTAATAATTTTAAAAAATATATAAATAAATAAAATATTAATCTAACTAAGTAATATTGTGTGATTTTAATAAAATAATATGTGATCGTAATCATAATCGAGATAATCTTATTATTTTTTAAAGTAAATAATATTTATATCATATTAATTCTCTAAAACTCGTTTTGACATAACAACTATCTCTTTGTCAGTCACAATTATAAATTTAAATACAAAAATTTAAACAGATATATTTTATATCTATGATATACAAAAAGAGATATCCTCAAATTCCACGTCTGTGACATCTCTAAGTATTAAAACAAGAACTCAAGCTCAAAACTGAAATGATTGTGCTTGGCAACTCTAAATAAGGAACTGTTTGAATGGTGATTCGGATTAATTACTTAATCTAAGATATTTTGGTAAGTTGTGATGACAAAATGATGAAATTAACACGGTTTGGGGTCCATGTCTTCATGTGACTTTTCGGTAGCGTTCATATGTATTGGTGCATTTGGTCAAGCTCAATAGGCCATTAAGGATTTAGTCGTCACGTTACTAGGACCAAAAAAAATCGAAAGTTGTCCTACTTAAAATCTTAAAGTTCTAAGAAAAAGACGGGAGTTAGCAGTCCATGACGCGTTGGATGCTTTATTGTATACTCTTAAAGTTGGAGTCAAATCTATAACGAAATTGGAATAAAAAAAAAATAATAATAATAGCAATAACCAAGAAGAAAAACGTGCGGTAGACCAGGTAGTTGAGCTTATTTGAGCTTTTCCTTGGAACCAAAAACTTGACTGTTGTTGCACAACTCCGA